AAATAGTTATAGCCCTTAATAAAAATATTTTAATAAATTCAAATGATTTATCTTGCGCCCTACTCATCATGGGTGGATTTACCCCTCTGCTAAGATAGGGAAAATTTTATTAATTTTTATTTAGTTTTTCTTGTGTACGTACAGATTTACATTCATGGAGACTTTAACTTGTCTCGAAAGGTTTCGGTCAGTTTCAAGGAGGCTGTTAATTTTCATTGTTAATATATTTTTGTACTGGTATTCTATGGTGTGTACTATCAGAGTTGTAGTAACTTAATACTGTGAAGCCTTACCGATGGTCCAAAAAGCAGTCAATATATTGTGGTCGGTTTCAAAGCAAGTAATGTTGGTCCCTCAAAATGTTTTAATTATCTTTAAACGCCTTTTACAACATGTTTTTAAAATGACAAGTTGACCTATAAGGATTTTCTTTATAAGGATACACAAACACACACACACACATATATAGAGTCAGCCACATACAAGCCTCTTTTGCTGTATGACAGCTCATCAGTGTAGCTATAGATTCGATTGCTTCAAGCCGGTATCGAAACCTGACCGATTTGGCATCAGCGGAAGATCCTACCCCTAAGCTAACGGCGGTGAAAAGGAAATTCTAAGGATGTATACAAACGGCAGCAGCCATAGTGCTCAATTCATTAATGCAGAGCTGCGCGTTAATAGGGGTGACAGCTACTGTTTTGGAATTATCTTTTTCTCAATAGTGCTCGATCGACAGCATAACGCGTGTGAACACACAAACACACTCCATATATATATATATATATATATATATATATATATATATATAGGGGAAATGACAAATGTATGATAAAATGGAAAAGTATACATTGTTTCATCAATATTTTTATTGATATATTTAAATGTGTATATCATTATTAAAACTGATCCATAAAAAGAACTCAATGTATTTATTATTACAGAGCAAGTAATTATTACACAACAAAATCCAAACTCACCTCATATGGGCTGATTTGATTTTATTGGGTATTGTATATATATATATAAATATGACATATATATATATATATATATATATATATATATATATATATATATATATATGTGACAAACTGGAAAAGTTTTTGTGACGCATTTCTTATGTTAGTATTTCGTCGGACTGACTTTGATGTCGTTGTCACATCTGCACAGAACGAGAGATGCTGGTAGTTTACAAATCTTTTGAAAGAATATTTTTTAGATTGTTCTCATTCCACTTGCCACCTCGAATGAATGTCAGTCATCAGTTATCTCCTGCTAATTCCCCTCTCCAAGTTCTCGACCGCCTTAACCAGGTATTGAACTCACAGGTCTTTGGGTCCCGACACTGGATCTAACGTCTTTATCCACGTGTCCTTGAGGACATCTATGCATGAATTTCTGGGTATTATAAACCTATTTTTTTCAGCCAACAATTGCAACATATTGCAATTTTTGCTGTTATCATTTCATGTTTTTTTTTACCAGAGTTCATATTGCAATATCCGTTGGTTAATTCATTACAACCACATGAAGAAGGCCGGAGCGTACAACGGCCGAAAAGTTGTGATAAATATACCAACAAAGATGAGGACAATAGTCCGAATAATGCAAATAGTGAGAATATTTTTTGAAAGAATTTTTTTCAATATTTGAGTGTGTGTATGCATATAAATATTGAAAACAAATATGTTAAAGAAACGAGAAACAATGAAAAACATGATAGAATGAAAAAAGAGGAAAAAAACTAGGATATATATATATATGTGTGTGTGTATGTTTGTGTGTGTGTTTGTGTGCGTATGTGTTTGTGTGTGCGTGTGTGTGTGTGTGAAAGTTAGTATCTTAAAGTTTGAGGAATCGAATGACAAAAAGCATATGGAGTGGTGGAGATTAGATTTCATGTCTTTCATTGTGCCTACAGTATGATTCTGTTTTTATCAGCTTTTAGTTTATTGACATTCAATTAGGCTAAGTCATAAACACTTTTCATTATTCAAACCAACTGCAATGTCGACTGTATGATCTTAACTGCTAATCATCCTAATCATACTAATCATATGTGGCAGTTAATAATAAATTTAAGTACACTAATATACAACAATGTTCTCCATAATTTACCAGAAAAGTTCAGCTCTATGGTTAATAAATAGTAATGCCACGCGTATGGCGGTCTCATCAGGATATTATTTATTCGGAGTTTTAAAATCCAAGTCAAACACTAAATGTACTTTTATACGTTCGACGACTACTCTGCTTTATGAAACCAGATGAGAGTAGAGATCGTCTGCTCATACGACGGATGCATATATCAGGTAAGTAAGTTCCATTTTTAGGAACCATTTGTAATAAAAGACTATGATCCTCTATGACAACGCAAAAAGTAGATATGTTCACCTATCGCCCAGTTTACTCTCCTCCCCGGTCTTTTGTACAGGGTTAAGCGTCTATCACTTTTTCCTGTTTAAGATTGTGTTTCCTTTTTCTTCTAACGTCTACTTTAACGCTATACTCTTAACACTTGTTCTTTCTCATGCTAATGCAACTACACACTGTAGCTATCTACCTTGAGTGGCTCTTGGGCCTGGCAATGGATGAAAATTAGTAAAAACAAGATCGCCTACAGCATGAATAACACAGGAATTGGGAACTCGGTTATTTTGTTCTACACAACCAGCCATGTTCTACTGAGCTTACACCGTATTTTCCTGCTTGCAAGACGCACATTTTTCCTAAGACGTACCCTGGAAAATACGGGTGCATCTTCCATAGTGAAAGGAAGACAAGACCTGTACTCATGTAAGGCTGTGCGGTCACCTAATTGGCTTGACTGATAGGGACGTGGATTTGTATGTTGAATTATTACTCTATAATGTTAGTTATCTATTTAATTCAGCCTGTTATATGATTTAACCTTAGTACTTAGCTGTTACAAGTATTTCCAAGACTATAAATCTTCCTGATCTTGATGGTGTAGGTTTCTTCTCAATGTTACGTCGTGAAAATATCAGTTACCAGCAGGCTGTCACACGTATCACAAGCTTTTTTTGTCCTGGAAATTATTACCCACCGCCAGTTCATCAAAACGATTTAAAACCAACCTTACACAATAAAAGATGTATAGTGTATTTACTAATCACCAACTAGTATGTCATTGCCATACAAACAAAATCGGACGAGTGATTAATGTAAACAATACGTGGCGCCAGTATGTGAGGGATGCATGGTGAATGTGTTGTATGAGAATGACGTTTTATTCTTAGAAATTTCTTTCCGATATTAGAGTGTGTTCTTCCAAGCCGGAAAATACGGTATATATATATATATATATATATATATATATATATATATATATATATATATATATATATATATTAAACCGTATTTCCAGATTTTTTAAAAAAAAAATACGTGTGCATTTTCCAAGACGAATGTAAAGCAACGCCTAGGCTCAAGTAAGCTTGAACTGTTACCTATTTGGCTTAACTGATAGGGATGTGAATTTGTATGTTAATCCATTACAGTATAATGTTAGCTAGCTATCTAATTCAGCTTTTTTGTATGATGGAACCTCAGTACTTAACTTTTACAAGTATTTCCAAGACTATAAAGCTTCCTGGAGCCGAGCCACAAGCTTAAACATGCTCTGTTTACTTAGCAGCGGCGGGAGTCTTTCTGCTCTTGACTAATATGTCATTGCCATACAAACAAAATCGGACGATTAATTAATCTAAACAATACGTGGCGCCAGTATGTGAGGGACGCATGGTGAATATTTTGTATGAGAATGACTTTTTTTTTCTTTGAACTTTCTGTCAAATATTAGGGTGCGTCTTCCATGCCGCAGCGTCTTGTAAGCCGGAAAATACCGTAACTTTTTGAATCACTGCAAAATTCTATGACGGAAAAAATTTTCAAAATTTCAAAAGCTATTGAAATGATGGATGGTAACCAGTGATTGCAAAAAAAAAAAGGTGAATATATAATTAAATAAAATGTAATTTTGTACATTTCTTAAGAATATGTTTAATAAGATGCAAACGTAAATCATTTACAGCCCAACATAATAGATATAAAGTTATACTCTGAATACAGTTAGCTGTTTTTGTTTATCAATATATCAACATCTCTATGTGACTTCATTGCTTAAATCTAAATATATGATTAAACTGAAAGGGTTTTTAATGCCCAAATCTAAATATTTCTTCCTGATTTTTTTCTGTGATGATAATAGTTTTAGAGATACAAGTCTTAATAATTAACCCATAGACTGGGGAGAAGAGGTGGATTCTTAACTTTCTCATGGTTATTGTGTGTAAATGAATATAACAAACCCAAATGCAATTGGAACTCGGCTCTCCAATTAAAAATTCCGTGCTATTATACATTTGACCAGCCACACATCCAAGCTTTAAGCACCTGACATTTCCAAGCGGTCACTAATTCTGGTTACTAACTAGGCTCGATGTTGCTTAACTTCGGTGATCATACCGGGGGGAGTGGTGTTTCGACGTGACGTAGCCGTAAACCTGTGAATATTGGTTTGGTTTGGTTAGATTTGGTTTGGTTTCTTTTACGGCATATCAACCTCAGTGGGTTCAAGATTTTTATTGCTGGTAATATATTTTTCAAATAGAGAGAGAGAGAGAGAGAGAGAGAGAGAGAGAGAGAGAGAGAGAGAAAGAAAGAAAGATTGGTTTGGTTTGGTTTGGTTTCTTTTATGGCATATCAGACTCAATGTGTTATTTAATGTCTACAAGATTTTTATTGCTGGTAATAATTTTTTTTCAAATAGATAGAAAGAGAGATAGAGAGAGGGGGTAGAGAGAGATAGAGAGATAGAAAGAGAGATAGAGAGGGGGAAGGAGAGAGAGAGAAAGAAAGAGATAGAAAGAGAGAGATGGAGAGAGAGAGTGATTGGTTTGGTTTGTTTTACGGTATATCAACCTCAATGGGTTATCTAATGCCGACAAGGTTTTTATTGCTGGTAATATTCTTTTTCAAATCGATATAGAGAAAGAGAGATAGATAGATAGATAGATAGATAGATAGATAGATAGATAGATAGAAAGGGAGAGATAGAGAGAGGGAGAGGGAGAGAGAGGGATAGAGAAATAGATAGAGTGAGAGAGATTGGTTTGGTTTATTTTACGGTATATCAACCTCTGTTGGTTATCTAATCTCGACAAGATTTTTATTGCTGGCAATATTCTTTTTCAAATCGATAGAGAGAAAGAGAGAGATAGACAGGAAGAAGAAGAGATATAGATAGGTAGAGAGATGGAGAGAGATAAATAGAGACAGAGAGAGATTGATTCGGTTTCTGTTACGGCATATCAACCTCAATAGGTTATTTAATGCCGTCAAGATTTTTATTGCTGGTAATATTTTGTTCAAAAAATTTTGCTGGTAAAATTTTTTCAAAAATGTCTTGCTGGTAATAATTTTTACTTCAGAAATTCATTGCTGGTAATATTTTTAAGAAAATATATTGCTGGTATTAAAACCTATTTTTTTTTTACTTTCAAAAGATTTTTTTGACTCTTAGGTTAGGTTTTTAATATTTGATAGATAGATAGGGATCCCCCAGAAGGAACAGGTGCTAGAACCTCGGATCAGGTGGACCTGAGAACACCAGCAATCAAGAGAGAGGTTCACGCTCCTCAAAACCTCCTGATTGGTTTGGTTTTGCTGCCAGATGTAGTTCATCGTCTTACCCAGGACAAGTGTGAATATTATAGAAATCTAATAAATTAGACAATGGAAGACCTAATAGTCACGTAACGTAAGTTCGCCTGATTTTAATTTAAAACAGAACGTATTGATAACTCTAGAATAAAATCTTAACGTGGAGAGAGGGATATTTTTTTTGTTTTCGTGATAAAGTTGGGTTATCAAGACAGGTTTTTTATTTTCACTATTTTTTCGGCAACACATTTATTATAAATCTACATTAAAACCTTAATTTAAAGACTCCGTCACAAATATTTTTTTTTAATTTAATTTTCTTTGCTTGAATAATTTTATTCAATTATAAAACGAATATCCAAAACCGCACTTTAAATTCTATATTCTAAATATTATGTTTAATGAGACTGGAATATTTAAATCGCAGTAGGTGTAGGCTGGAGGGGTGTTCAAATTTGGTCGGTGGCGGGAGGGGGGTTTACCATTCTTTCAGTTGCAACTAAGTAGATTCATAGCTTACAACGAGGTCGATTCGACGGTGAAAGATTTTATGCAAACGTTTGCAGAAACGAAGGCATTTAGAACCGAGAAGAATATTATCAGAAATTATATGTAAAAATATGAAGTACTAAGGAGAAATAAAAAATACATATTATATATATATATATATATATATATATATATATATATATATATATAGATAGATAGATACCCCCCCCCTAACAGGATGGATGCATCATGGGTGGATCAGGGTGGACCTGGGAACTGTCCTCAATCGCTGATTTCGGTTTTTGCATCATAAAACCTCAACAGCAATCCTGAGCCTGATTCAAGACGAGTCAGGACGCATCCTTGAAATTATCGAGCTAATAAATTGCGACATTGAAGAAAAAAAATTCAAACCTTGATACGGATTTAAATCGTTTTATTGACATAACTCAATCAACGTTAGTCAATAAAAAACAAAGCTTTTCATTTCGTGATAAAGTATATACTGTTGTTTTTTTACTTCATCCACATTTAGCTTAAATCTACATTTCCGGAATTTAAAACGAGGTAATATTTTTTGGTCATTTAATTTTGCATAGTTTAAACCAATTTTATTCGTTATAAACGAAATCTTAAAGCACTACTGTTATGATGTTGATTTGGGGTTGTTTAAGAGACAAAAGCCATATAACACGTAACAATAAAAGGGTTTTAATAGGTTGGTAAAGGGGGGTTTAGAAATCGCCTGCAAGTCAATAGATACACTAGCTCAGCTAAGAATTCTCTGTCTATTTTCTTCGTTTGAGAAACTAACATGCCACTGTTTAAAGTCTTTGTTTACAGACGCCGACAAGTTCATCTTCAATAGGGGTGGTAGGTTTCCGACACAACAACTACTATATATTTAAACCTACACGAGGCAGATTTAGCCTCAGCCTGGGCCGTTTGGTCCACGCTAATGAAAGCAACCTTCCCGTTTAGTTGCTGTTCACGAACAAAATAACGACCTGCCGACTTTAGGTCACTGTTGGAGTGACGTCACGCTACGGCTGTCACATTGACCAAAACTTATCAAACCAAAGGGAGATAAGCGCCTTCTGTTTCCCTACAGTATATTCACAAAGACGAAAATCTGTCAGAATCTCCTTGGTTTGCAAAAGAAGATCGATTTATTTTCATCGGAATTTCTTTCTCAAAACGTAAAGGAACCAGGGTTTACAGAAAAAAATCGAAATATCTTCCACAAACAGATAATAGAAACTCAATTGTTTGCTGAAAGAGATCGATTTATTATTTTCATTTTTTTTCACAAAACAGTAAAAGAAACAAAAAAAAAACCTCTATTTTTTTCACGAAATCTATCGATTTATTTTTTATGGTTTCACTTACACAAGACAGACATAGGGAAAAACTTGAATTTTGCTTAGCAAGCACAAATCTGTTATCGATTTTTTTTTTACACAAGACATTCATAGGGTATATTCCAATTCTTTATTTTAAACAGTTCAAATTATCTGAGTGGCATTAAAAACAAAAAATAAAACATCCATAGCTCCAGGAAACAGCTCAAATTCATGTTGGCGGTTCATCTTACAGAAAACACTCATCGAAGAACCTCCAAGTTATCCTGAATGGATTCGAATTACTACTGTTGTTTTCCACAAACCGGTCGTAAGAACCAAGATTTGCTATATGAGCTCAAAGTGTTGTTATCGAGTTATTTGACATCAAGGTTATTCAAACGATTTCTTCCAAACGCGGAAACTAATTTAAATATCCTTTTCGTTTATTACATGACGGTAACTTCGACGTCGTGTAATGGTTAGCAAGCTTGTCTCGCTAGATCAATTACAACTTTAATAGTAAGATCGATTCTTACTGGATGACCCATACATTCGGCCTTGTGCCACATCTAAGCTATGCTTAGTATGTCATTTGAGCACTTTGACGTCGTGTGATGGTTGGAAAGGTTGTCTCGCCAAACTAATTACGACTGGGTAATGAGTTCGATCCTCACTAAATGCTCCATACTTTCGGCCTTGTGCCACATCTAAACTATACTTAGTATGTCCTTTGAGCACGTTGACGTCTTGTAATGGTTAGCAAGCTTGTCTCGCTAAGTCATTTACGACTGAGTAGTCAGTTTGTTCCACACTGGATGCTCTATACTTTCGGCCTTGTGCCACATCTAAGCTATGCTTAATATGTCATTTGAGCACTTCGACGTCGTGTAATGATTAGCAAGCTTGACTTGCTAGATCAATTACAACTGAATAGTAAGATAGATTCTCATTGCATGCTCCATACTTTTGGCCTTATGCCACATTTGAGCACTTCGACATCGTCTAATGGGTAAGCAAGTTTGTCTCGTTAAATCAATTATGACTGAGTAGTGAGTTCAATCCGCACTGGATGCTCCATACTTTCGGCCTTGTGCCACATCTAAGATACACTTAGAAAACTAATGTCTTCATTTACATGAGGACTATTGTTCTCATCTTGTCGTTATCACAATGTTTCGGCCGTTGATTCCCCGGTCGTTATCAGGTGCTGCTTATCAATCCAGGCTTTTGAAAGTGGACCGTTTTGACGCTAGATTTCCGTGTTCCACTGTCTTGTTCTCATTTTAATCCGATTCGATTATTGTTTACCTCGTTTCCACAGAGTCTAAATCTGCACTGCTCGGCCCAGGAATTGAACTCACATTTACTTTATCACCAAATTCACGAACCAATGCTTTATCCACTAGGTCTGATATTTTTCCGTGGTGGTTTTTGTCGCTACTTCTACTGTGTTCTTTCCTTTATAATCCAGTGTATAGCCTCCTGGGTATGACGATAAACTACATCCGGCAGCAAGGATCGGTAGGTTTTGAGAGGCGTGGAACCACCTCTTAATTGCAGTGTCACCCAGGTCCACCCTGACCTTGGGTGGTAGCATCTGTTAGGGTCCCGGCTATGGGAAAATAGTGAACTCCCAAACTGGAGCTAAAACACTATAAAAGCATAAAAATACATTTTCATAGTAAGAATATCTGCAATACATTTTTTTTTAAATTACCAGCAATAGATTTGACTCGGCAAAAACTCTCTTTGCAAAAATGCGTCAATGAAATTTGATCTGCAAACTAATTTCCTACAAAGAATACATATTCTATTCATACGAACATATCCTAAATAATCTTCTCAGCATTAAATAACCCATTGAGGTGTTGATATGCTGTAAAAGAAAATAAACGAAATAAACGTAGTGGATAATAACAACAAAGATGAGGATAATGGTCCGCATGAAAATGATGTAAATTATGGTAATTCCTAATTCCAGAAATTTAGTCAGAAACTCCAATTCCAGAACAAATACAGGGTGTCCATAAAGTTCATGTGCACTTTACAAAATTGTAACTTTATTTGTATTTGCGATTGAAATAATCTGTAAAAAATGTTATAAAGTTTAATGTACCTAGTTTTAAGTATAGCTAAAGTAACTAATGTGATTTCAGGCATTACTGTAAATCAGTTGACAAATGTTTTCCGTGAACGGCAAAAAGACAAGGGGGAAAGTAAGAATATTTTTCCTCAATTCTTTTTATTCAAGGATTTTTGTTTGTTTTTTCCAAATTTTTCTTCATCCTGTCGGATCAAAATCCATTTACATGTGCTTATATATATATATATATATATATATATATATATATATATATATATATGCTCTAGCAAAATTCAGAGACAGAAAATTGCCAGGCAAATAATTGCCAGTTAGGGAAATTCCCATTGAGAAAATATGCGGAATATTGCCATTGACAAATTAAAAAAGATAGAGCTTATATTTGTAATTTTTTGTATATATACACGGTGTCCATAAAGTTCGTGTGCACTTTAAAAAATTATAACTTTATTTGTATTTACGATAGAAATAACCTGTAAAAAATGTTATAAAGTTTAATGTACCTTGTTTTAAGTATAGCTAAAATAACTAATGTGATTTCAGGCATTACTGTAAATCAGTTGGGTAATGTTTTCCGTGAACTGCAAAATCGTATTACCCTTTGTATTGCTAATGATGGAGGAAATGTAGAAACGTAAATAAAACTTCAATAAAACATATAGATTTACTTCTTTCTAATCCTTTTTACAAAGTATTTCTATCGCAAACTTTATGGACACCTTTTATTTCTGGAGCTACGTTTGTTGTTTTTGTTCTTTGTCGAAATGAAGAATTTGTCTCTTTGTTTCAAATATGGTGGCATTTGAAGATAAAAGGAAAATGAGCATTCATCAAATTTGCACCGTTTCTTCACAAAGAATAATGGCAAAGGTTTATGTGACATTTGGCTCGTTCGAATTATCCTATTTTCTTTATATTTTAGATATCATTTTGTATATCTGGTCGACGCACGATGGCGTAATGGGTAGAGGCTTGGAATGAGAAAGCGATCAACCGGGTTCAAATTCCAACCGATATACATTTACAAGCAAATAAAGCTATGGGTTAAATAGAAAAAAAGAGTGGTCCTTATAGCCTTCGATGGCATCCAGTCTAGGAGAAAGAAACCTCTGAACTTAACCCGGAATCGCAGGAAATTGTGGGACCTTATAGCCTGGGTTAGCAAACCGTCTAAGAGACCGAAACCTCTGAATTTGACTCAGCCTGGGGAGGGTTAGTCTTCGGCAGATGATATTGCGCAAGACACACCACTTCTGCTATGGTTACGGCACATCTGGTACCTGTACGACCATAATAGGTTACGTTGTCTGTTAATCTTGAACCAAATATAAAGATCTTATATTTTGTCATTTGGTCAATTTATTGATTGAAAAAAAAAAGCCAATAATAGTTCCAGTTTCTCTGTGAGACTGTGTTCAAGTCTGAAAAAAAAAGTACACTCAAACTCGGTCACGATGACTTGCGAGCTCGTGCTAGCACAAAAATCGACGTCTCCCAAATAGTCCGTTCTACCCAGTTTCTCACAAGGCTTGGGTAAATACGTGATTTTAGCTTTGAGACACTTTCCAAAGGTGTCGCACTCTGGGATTGCCTCAGGTAGATAATATCAAGAAATCACCTTCCTGATAAACTGAGCATGTCAAGATATAATATCAAGAAATCACCTTCCTGATAAACTGAGCATGTCAAGATATAATATCAAGAAATCACCTTCCTGATAAACTGAGCATGTCAAGATATAATATCAAGAAATCACCTTCATGATAAACTGAGCATGTCAAGATATAATATCAAGAAATCACCTTCCCGATAAACTGAGCAAGTCAAGATATAATATCAAGAAATCACCTTCCTGATAAACTGAGCATGTAGACATTCGAACCTGGGTCTCATAGTCAGAAATCGAACATTCTAACCACTCGGCTACGTGTCCATATTGTTGCATAAGTAATAAGAGTATTAAAATCAACCAAGGTTTTTACTCACGGGAGTGTCTTCGACAAAGCAATGGAATGATAGCCGGGAGAGGTACCATTTCCTGAAGTGACATAACCACAAAAACCAACGGAATTGAACATAGAAATTACTGAGATTTCTCAACATCAACCCATCCTACGTGCTTTTGTCTGGGAAGATGTAAGTAAAATTCTATTAAGGAGTTTATTTCCTGTTTGTTCGGCAATTGCTACCCTGGATTGCCCCTCAGACCAAAGAAAATCAAAATGACCAATGGTGTTGTTAAATGAAATATTTTTTTTTTTTCGACTCCGTTCATTCGGTGTGGATTCATTCAGGCGGCTCTTGTTCAGGGCCGGTGGTCCAAAATATTCAAAAAACGGAAAAGAATAGAATAAAGGAAATGTGTGACTGTTTGTTTACAACCGTCTTGTTTATTCGTGCAGGTGCAATTTCCTTTCAATACTTTCACCGCACATTCTTGAACTAGCAAAGGATACACGATTTTGGTAAACTCGTCTATTTCTGACAGAACCCAAAATGTCAGCTTTTAAGTAACTAAAGGATCATACATTATATATATATATATATATATATATATATATATATATATATATATATATATATATATATATATATGTATGTGTGTGTGTGTGTGTGTATGTGTGTGCGTGTGAAAATATATAGAAAATAAGAAAGAATTCGTTAGGTAAATAATCCAAAGTTCTTTAATATTTTGTTATTATTTTTAAAAAACAGTGCTCGATACAAAAGTAGAGCCTAAATATAATTATTTATTTAAAAATGTGATTCCATCGCTTCAAAAGAGTTCTCATGTTTCAAAACAAGAGCCGAAATCTTCAATATAATTATTTGAATTAAACTGAATTAAAGTACCAAGCTCTGTTCCATCTTCAAGTGAAATGTTTTTTGAGTTATTCCAAAAAAAATTTCGGCTCTTGTTTTGAAACATGAGAACTCTTATGTAGCGATGAAATCATATTTTTAAATATATATATATATATATGTGTGTGTGTGTGTGTGTGTGTGTGTGTGTGTGTCCGGGTAAGTTCGTAACAATTTAAAAGATGGCTCAATACAAAGTAGAGCAATATTTTTTATTTTAGGATATTACATGTCAAAACATGTCAAAATCGCTACACAATTGCAAACGTGTTTCAATGCGTATCAATGCATCTCATCAGGCGATTGTACATTACTGGCGAGTGGGCGATTTATTTAACTTTTAAACCAAAATACAAGCTCCTTTTACGAAAAGAGAAAAAGGGGTGGTTATAAGGTTCTTTTTTTTTTCATTTTCTTTTTTGTTTTTCCTAAAAAGAGTTTTTATTTGGCTTTTAATTTTAAATAAATCGTTCACTCACCAATAATTTACAACCGACATTGATACGCATCGAAACACGACTGCAATTTTGTAGCGAATATATATATATATATGAAGAAATATAGTTTTAATGTATGCTATATTTATGGGATAAAGTGCTCAATATCAGAGATAAAGCGTATGTAAATATAAATATAAAAGTGAACATTAAAGTTAAAACTAAAAGGCCACAGGCTGGACGCAATCGTCAGGCCGCGAATGCTGGATTTTTCCTTGGCTATTTATATATATGGGTCAGTGGTGCATTGTGGGTAATCTATTCTGGCGGTTATTTTTACGGGACTGGCTTGTTTGTTTATTTATTTATTTGTTTGGGTTAATTTATTTTACTTGTTTTTCATTTTCATTTTTTATTACTTATTCTTTTTGTTTTTTAATGTTTTATTAACGAAGTAAAAATTTTGGAGGGAGATTTGATTAGGTCCCTTTTTCAATAGTTTTTTTTGGTCTGGGAAGTTAATTAAACCTGTTTATTCGTCCAATGTTTAGATTGCTTGCCGTAGTCTATTCTGTTATCTTGCGGGTGGTCAGTTTTAATTTATTTATTTGGATTGATTAGTTTTCCTTGTTTTTGCTTATTTATGCTTATTTTATTACTTCTGACGGTTATTTTAGCGGGTGCGATTTGTTAATTTGTTCATTTATTTATTTATTTTGATTAATTTTTATTAGTTTTTTTTTTAATTATTTGCTTATTTTTTATTTTGTATATTTTTAGTTATTCTATTTGGTTTTCGATTTTTGAGTAACGTAGTGGTGTTTTTTATCGATATATAGCAGTTCTAGCTATTTTTACACCCAATTTTGGATTGGTTGTTGTAGACTATTCTGACGGTTATTTTCGTGGGATTGGTTTGTTAATTTGTTTATTATTATTTACTTTATTTACTTATTTGCGTTGTTTTTTTTTTACTTGTTTTTTATGTTTCATTTTATTTATTCTATTTCGTAGTTTGTTAATTTGTTTATTATTTGTTCGGGTTAATTTATTTTACTTTTGTTTTATATTATTTTGTTTAATTGTATTTATTCATTTCATTTTCGATTTTTAATTAACGTAGTAAAAATTTGTTTTCATGTCTGCATTTTGAGATGAGCTCAGATCGTTTATTTAGTAATTTATTTTGGTCTGGGAAGGTAATAATAGCTATTTTTCCTCCAAGCAAAGTTTGCAGGTTTTTGATTGATTGTTGTACGCTGATTATCTTTTCCTTATTTTTTATATCTTTGGCGTGATTTGTGTTCTGTTCTATATGTGAAAGATGTTTTGTGTGCATAGTTTCTTTGTTTTCAGGGTCCGTCATTTACTCCTATGTATACTTTTTCTTCATTATCTGGTGTCGAATGAAAAAATATCATTAATTGCTTAAGTGGCTCCGTTTGCGTTTCGGCTATACAAATATAAGTTTGCAGATACAGGCAGCGGAAATCCGAAAGAGCGATGAACATTTCCAAAATTAAGTTCACCTGCGGTTTTCGCCTTACTGTCAATACCTACGTTAGCTAACGAATTAAACAAAAAACAAGAGGAAAATATGAATATTGGCGTGTTTATTCACAATTTTGATACGAATGTGCAGCAGAAAGTACAATAAAAAAATTCAACAGACGGATGTTCTGTCTTACATTTCATACATATTGTTTAAACACACACACAACACAGATAGGTAGATAGAATATATATGGATAGATAGACAGATAGATATGAATAGGCTGAGATAGATTAGATAGATAGAAAGAAAGAAATAGACTAGGTTAATTAACGCAGATAGATAGATAGATAGATAGATAGATAGATAGATAGATAGATATTAATAAACTAAGATAGTTAACATAGATAGATAGATAGATAGATAGATATTAATAAACTGAGATAGATAGAAATGAGCAAACTGAGATACATAGATATGAATAGACTGAGATAGATAGATTAGATAGATAGATAGGCACGAACAGACCGATATAATTATAAATAAAATGGAACATATATAGATATATAGATAGATAGATAGATAGATAGATAGATAGATAGATATTAATAAACTAAGATAGTTAACATAGATAGATAGATAGATAGATAGATAGATATTAATAAACTGAGATAGATAGAAATGAGCAAACTGAGATACATAGATATGAATAGACTGAGATAGATAGATTAGATAGATAGATAGGCACGAACAGACCGATATAATTATAAATAAAATGGAACATATATAGATATATAGATAGATAGATAGATAGATAGATAGATAGATAGATAGATAGATATGAATAAACTAAGATAGTTAACATAGATAGATAGATAGATAGATAGATAGATATTAATAAACTGAGATAGATAGAAATGAGCAAACTGAGATACATAGATATGAATAGACTGAGATAGATAGATTAGATAGATAGATAGGCACGAACAGACCGATATAATTATAAATAAAATGGAACATATATAGATAGATAGATAGATAGATAGATAGATAGATATGAATAAACTAAGATAGTTAACATAGATAGATAGATAGATAGATAGATAGATAGATATTAATAAACTGAGATAGATAGAAATGAGCAAACTGAGATACAGAGATAAGAACAGACTGAGATAGATAGATATGAATAGACTGAGATAGATAGATTAGATAGATAGATAGGCACGAACAGACCGATATAATTATAAATAAAATGGAACATATATAGATAGATAGATAGATAGATAGATAGATAGATAGATAGATGGAACATATTCAGATAAATAGACAGATGGATAATAGAACGTATTCAGATAGATAGATGGGGCGTATTCGAAGAGATAGAGACATAAACATTGAGATATGTAGACAGAAACAGATTGGATTCTAAATAAACTTATATATATATATATATATATATATATATATATATATATATATATATATATATATATATATATATATATATAAACAAATTGAGAAAGATAGATAGGCACGAACAGACCGATATAGATTGTTATATATATATAATAGAACATAGATAGATAGATAGATAGATAGATAGAAAGTTAGATAGATAGATAGATAGATGTGAACATGTACTAAAATATTTTTAATGCAAACCATTATGACTGAATTAAGTACGATTTACGATACATAACCTACACTCGAGCATTTGCGCCTTACTCAAATAATTGTAATAAACATAAACACCTGACTGTGAAGCAAAGATTAACAAATTGTTTTCACAACCTTTCAATACTTTAGAAATTTTTTGTTCCTTCTAGTTGCTCCTACCTTGTCTTTTGCCAAACAAAGGACTAAGCATCTATTACGACATTCGTATCTCATATATATATATATATATATATATATATATATATATATATATATATATATCCAGCGTATTATGGCTGACAGCAAAGGCGATGCAAAAGTCGAACTGCCATCTTGCAGCTTATCTGGCACTGTTATTTTTGTAATATATGAACACTTTGCTTCTCTCCGAAGTGATATTTTTCATCGAGATGTAAAGTGGCTCAGATAAGACGCTTACGGCTCAAAAGATAGAAAGAAAAAGAAAAGAAAGAAAAAGAAAAGAAAGAAATATTATTTTGGACAGAGATATTATCATAATTAAAAACGAGGCCCGCGATTTGAGAAAAGTGGTTGTCTTAACTGGAAGAAGCAGTTTAGTTTTTGATGGATATGGCGTAAGTATGGTTTATAATTGTTGATCTGAAAAAAAAAGTATTTGTGTAGACTCTTAGCGAATACAAGATTAGATACTATACCCTAACCCTTCTTTCTACTGATGGATTATTTGTTAAGATCCTTTTGACCGCAAAAGATTCATCGCAAACAAAGAAAAACGAAATGTTCTCATGAATACCAGACAAACGTATCAAATGATAAAGATTCAGACGAACAGACAGACAGAGACATAGATATTAGCGAACTATGATATAGATAGAGAAACAGTGGGAAAATGGGAAATTATCAAAATATGGTAGATATAGATAAGATTAACAGAAATATATTAGCAAAGGAGAAGAGACAGATAGATGGATGCATTCAGATTGACACCAAACATTCTGTAATGTCCACATTGGAGCTTCCGGCGTGAATGCCAAGCAGTACAGTGTGTCTTTTCCAAATTTCTGGCGTATTCAATTGCGTCATGGTGATCTTTTTCTCACAGACGGAGCCCAACTGACCCTACTATACTTGTACAGTCGACAAAATCGAAAACAAACAATGCGCATGCGCGAAATGAAAAATATAAGATTTCGACAATTTACCTATCGCACTCTGTATATATGAATAAATATTATCTTTGTAGAGATATATTTTATTTATATATGATGTTTTACACACAAAAATATATATATATATATATATATATATATATATATATATATATATATGAAGAAATATAGTTTTAAAGTGTGCGACATTTATGGAATAAAAGTGCTCAATATCAGAGCTAGAGCGTATGTAAATATAAATATAAAAGTGAACATTGAAGTCATCACACAGAGGCGACAGGCTGTTTCATGCTGGATGCAATCGTCAGATTCACGGCCTGACGATTGCGTCCAGAATGAAACAGCATGTCGCCTCTGAGTGTTGACTTCAATGTTCACATTGATATCTATCTATCTATCTATCTATCTATCTATCTATCTATATATATATATATATATATATATATATATATATATATATATATATAATTAGTTGTATTGATATGACAGTATTTACATTGCTCGGACTATCAACCTCATTTTTGTTGCCATATTTATTACAACCCAAAGAGTTGAGTTCAATACCTGGTTAAGGTGGTGGAGAACTTGGAGAGGGGAATTAACAGGAGATAACTGATAACTGACATCTATTAGACATGGCACCTAGAATTAGAACAGTCTACCCCAGCGAACGAAATAAAGGGTTTTATGAAGCCCGGAGCATACAACGGCCGAAACGTGATAAATATTGCAACAGAGATGAGGATGATAGTCCGAGCAATGTAAATATTGTACATAATACCTCATCTCAGAAATATAGACAGATACTGTATGGCTATGAGTTTGTGACCCTGGGTTTCACGCTTTTGCCATCATTAGATCACTAATTTGACTGATGATTGAAAAAGCGTGAAACGTGGGGTTACAAACTCATATCCATACAACTGAATATGTTAGCTCTATCACTGATATTTTGCACTTTCCACTAAGTACTGGTCATATAAAATGCATATATATATACATGTCAGAGATATTAGGAGGATTTGAAATAATCATAATTAAGTAATTCATCGTGTCTAGAAGAAACCTCAACAGAATGCAAAAAGCACTGGACGGACGTTTCGACCTATATTTGGGACTCATCGGCAGTGCGCATCCACTACAGAGATTTGAAACCGGGACAGTTAAGGTATTAGGCAAACGTCATACCAACTGTACCAACGGGCCTCAGTGACGAAGAGGTAGCGAATCAGACTCGATATAGCGCCGCTCGATCATATATTCCGTGGTGAAACTCATCGCTTTTAATATATGGGAGTCATGGCAATTGCTCCGATGAGCTGTTTTCGCTGGTTCCCAGACTTCATGAGTTCAAGCGCCCTACGAGGCTGGCATCCCGCTCTCACCCTTTCATTGTCGAAACTACTAAATGTAGCTGTCTCTTCTACTCCAATAGCTTCATGTCTCGCACCTCTCGCCTGTAGAACTCCCTTCCCTATTCCAGTTTCCCTGAGAGCTATAATCTCCAACTATTCAAATGTAATGTCAATCGACATCTCCAGTTGCCTTGATCTATCCACTATCCTTCTCCTCATCCTTTTCTCTATCACTCCTATCTGATCTTGCTACAAATCTTTTGTAACCCCTTGCGTCCTAGTGGCTTCCCGCCTTGCTTGGGGTGAAACGCTTATATATATATATATATATATATATATTGCTGTATAATTTTAGCGGTTATTTTTTTCTTTTAAAGAAATTACTCATTAACTGCTGTTCTTAACAATAAATACTTCATTACTATTAAATCTTGAAAGATTAACCTATACCAGATATCTCCTCTCCTGTGCACAGTGGTCTGTGCATAATCCAATACCGTGCATGTAATATAACGTTTGATATATAATCTCTTATTGTGGCTGATATATAAATTAAGCCTTATCATAGATATAAGGAAGAATATTGTATATATAGGATTCAGTGTTAATTTTGATTTCATGTGTCCGCTAGGAATCTTGAGAGCAATGTTGTTTGTGAAAGAATGTCTCATTCTTTCCCGTCAGCTTTTTTTTTACGTTTAAGGATGGGTTTTCATTTACCTTCCAAATGGGTAATTTCTTTTTTTCGAACCATTGTTTTCAAAGAACATGAGCACGAAAACTCCCTAAAACCTTGTGAATAATAAGATTGATACCATTCTCTTTGCAACTTGTTTGCCGAGAGGAGAAGATTGTTGAACGAACCGTCAAGCCTCATTTTTCTTGTGGGCTAGATAACGACTTGTTTAAAAAGTGATAATCACAACAGGTGGAGTCGATAAATTGACAGGCTTTCAATGCCGTCAGTCACCTTGGGGTGCATTTTCACATAGAAACCATTGATTAATTAGAATTATGTCGTGGGTAACTTTGGTGTGGATAGGGGGTTTGTTAGTTATATTTCATTCTGTTTCAATGTCGCTGTTGATAAATGCATTGAAATAAATCGACCCCGTCTTCTCTCTTTTGAAAAAGAAATCTTTTAGCGAATATCTGTTTATAAATTTATTGAATTAACTTCAAAAGGTCACAAGTTGGAGCACATCGTTACGCTGACTCCTCCACCTCCTCTTTGTACCAATATCTTCTGTGGATAATAGAATCATAGGTAGAATTGTCAGCCAGACACTTAACCACTTTTCAGTGCCAATCGACGGTAGCGATGGTAGTCTACCCTGCTATCTAACGCACAACTTTGCGGTAGAATTGTTGGATCCATTCCTTTCGTAAGTTTATTTCTGCAGAAATGAATCCAAAGAAATCGATCTGAATTTCAGCCTAGCTATGCACATAGTCTGGCACAAGGCTACAAAGTGTGGAGTACCTCCAACCAGTCTCACTAAACTACGTAATGGTCAACTGAGTATCATTTGCCAACCATTTTTCTATGCCGAACTTACAATTTACTTACTAAACATAGCTCACTCTGGCACAAGACCACAAAAAAAAACTATTGGGGAATTGGTTCCTGACGCCAGATGATTCAGTGCTTCGTCATGGAGGTCCGTTTCTGTGGTATAATGGTTAGCAGCTTGGGTTAAAGAGTCAGAGAGCAGAGTTTGAATTCCAGTCAGGTTTGTTACATTCATTTACGTACAAATACCCTTGGGAAAGGGATGAAACCATCTCTTTTCCCCCCAGCTATGGATAAATAACAGGACAGACCAAGTCTTATAGCTTTGGGTCGCAACACGTCTAAGAGAAGGGCAACTCTAAATTCAAAAACTTCCAATTATGAGTTAAATAGCCTCACCAACTTGCCAAGCATGGTGAGTACAGATAAATTCATGAAGACATGGTCAATCAGGGAGTGATTACTCCAACAGAAATGAGAAGGTCATGGATTTGGATTTGAATCAATATTTAGATTCTTCTAAAGAAGTACTGCTACTTTGTAGATTTTATTTCATTTGGTTTTTATTGTTTATCAACCCTTTGTGGGTTATTTAAAGTCAAAACATGTAAGAATAATTCTTTTATTTTTGTGAGTG